ATTCAAGTTGTGACATTTTCATATTATTTTATTTATTACTCTTGAAGTACTAAAGGTGATGGCCTTATTAGTCTTTGAAAATAATGAGGAAAAATGGAACTTTACAACTGAAAATTGTTTCTGATCATTTTAATGTTCAACAATTTAAAAACATAATTTACAAAAACTAGTCGCCAATAGGTCTTTTTTTAACGATTTTTTTGTTATCATTCAACGTATTAAGAATTAAGTCTTTTTAATGTTCATCAGCTAAGCAAGATGTCATAACCCTTGATATTGTTTTGTGATCCCTGTTTCACAATTAAAAAAGAAGAAAGTCCACGAAACAAAAAAGTCAGTCCCTTTAAAAAGTAAGTTACTAAAAAAATATATTTTTTTTAAATATTAAGCGACTGGTCGAACAAGTCGTGTACCCGGTGGAAAGCGTCACGCCTGTTCATAACAGTAGCACTGCCGCTCGAAGGCTACTGCTACGGCGTTCATCTCTCTGAGACATAGTTGACAAGTCCCATGTGCCTGTAATTTCACCAGCACCCTTACCCTTCAAAACTGTAACACGGTAAAGTGGCAGTACTACCCTGGACGAACTCACAAGGAGCTCTACTGCTACTAGATTTTTTTTCGACGATTTTTGAATATGATTTTCGGAACGAAAATGGCTCAAATGCTAATCCGTCAGTGGCAGCGTGTTGTCTTTGCAAATGCAGATTCAACAATAAATGCGGCGTTAATATCTCGACGCGGGAGTAGAATTTTGAAACTGAAAGAACAAAATGAAAGGGACCTTTATGAATCAGTGCTATTCGAGCTTTAATTGCACAATTTCATCTTCACCACAGTGTGACTAATGTAACAAAATATTTTTTTAAGATGGTTTTACGGTATAAACTCATTTTTAAATTTTTTGATTTGGGTCACTTTCATTGTAAGGGTGCGAAGTATTAGTCGGATAATTGCGTCATATTGCGTCATGCGTTAGAAGAAACATACCAACTGATTCGGTAGCCGCCATGCGTTAGAACAGTACCGACGGATAGAAAGAGACAAATTTCATTCATTGAAATACAATAGATGAATGCGTATTATTACATGATATGGTAAAAAGAAACAGAGATAACTTTAAATATGTGTTTTTTAGAGGACATTAGTTTTATTAATGGATATTAAATGGAAATTTGTGTATTTTGTATGTTTGAAGATATGAAGATAACGAAACCATATTACGTTATTATGTACTAAGTTTTAAATAATAGTTTTATTATGAAGTAGTGTATTTTGGCAAAGTAATCGATAATATTTATTTTTCATTAAATGTTCACACGCATATTACATGAATAAAATAATAATAAATTTAGTAAATTATAACATAGTAATAAGAATATGGCATTAAGTACTTTATCATTTACAATAATATGCCTGAATTTCACAATTTTTTCAAGTTACGTAATTTGGTTGTATTATGATACTCAATAGAGATGTGATGTGACTATTTATTTTCGTTAAATGACATCAGCTGATCGAAACTGTTCATGGCGAAATTTCCACAAATAACGTAGTGTGTACTAAAACAACTTTGCTAACTAGTTTCATACCATTAACTGAATCCGACCTTCAAATATGACCACACCTTTCTGTTACACCCTGTATATATATATATATACCATTTTTATTTCTTTAATTTTTAGCTGTAGTGTTATTATTAATATTTGTTACTACTTATATACTGATTAATAACTATGGTTTTTTCAATAAATGATCTAAGTGCGTGATATATGTCTTGCTCTTTTGAGTCTTCAGACGACAGCTTCCACAGTTTGCCTGCCCTTGATGAGTTACTGCACAATACCTTCTTAGAAGTACCTAAGAATTTTAATGTAGTACACATCAATGCGCAGAGTATTCCAGCACATTATGCGGACATGCGGACATGCTAGCTACGTTTGACAACAAAAATATTCACGCTATTCTTGTGCCCGAAACCTTTTTAAATCCTTGTCTTGCTTCTTCTGTCTCCCAGGTTTCCAACTGATTCGCAACAACCGTACTAGTTCCTCTCACGGTGGGGTAATTATTTATCTTCGTAGCCATATTCCTTTTGCAATCCTCAGTACTTCATCTCAACCCCCTCCACCCAATACTGCAGAACATCTGTTTTTAGAAGTTACTTTGTCCCATCATAAGCTACTTCTGGGAGTTTACTATAGCCCATCTCTAAGGATTGACTACTTCTCCGCTCTTGAAATGCTTCTCGAATCATCGAAATCGGTTTACAAATGTCGGAGTAATTACGTAACATACGCACAAATCGAATTGAGAACCTTTTTTTAAGTCAGTTAAAAATCAACCTTAAACGATTTTAAATTTAATCAAAAGAGCACCTTACTGTTTTTGAGATAAAGTTGCTTTTTATTCAGAGCTTAGATAATTTTGACTAGTTAGAAAGCATCTATCATAAACGTAATACATGGCAGATGCGGTTCGAGATAAAAAGCCCTATCTCTCTTAATAAGATGAAACAGTATTAATTATTCATAATAAATATGCGACCGAATATCTTCTGTAGCTTTTCAAATTAATAAGTTAGGGAAAACGTTATTTTCTCAAGAAAAGACGTTTCTAAAAACAAAAATGTACAACACACGGCCTTGAACATTATTTTCCCATACAGAAAATGAGGGAGTATGCCATATAACATTTGGTCTGAGGAGCTCCATGTTATAAGACGTATTTTGTTTTCCTATAAATCTGAGTCACAGAGCAATCAATTATAAATTCTTTATCTGATTTTCATTAACTTTCTTGTCACATAAAGTGATATTTTACAAATATATAATAATAACTTACGCAAGGCACATGAAAGCAATAAACCATTGGTTTATACTCAAGTGTAATTACTGAAGAAGACGAGTCCAAAATGGTCGCCTTGCTGGACGCTGACTTCAGAAGTGATTGTCTCGTTATTGTAGAGCAGCTTCGTGAGTTATAGCATTGCCAGATGTAGGGGTACAGTCCCGGGAGATGATGGCCTACTTTGTTTAACAGGTTGCCTCTGTCGAGGGAGTTGATAGCATTTTTCACATCTAGTCTCAAGATGAAGTCTATAAGGCTATAAGTTTGGAGAAGAATGGTCGCCTCGCAATCAGCTCGCATACCGTTACCGATATAAGCAGCAGATTACGCAACGGAGCACATTCCGTCCTTTTTGTTAAAGGTGCATAGCATAGCACACCATAAAGAAAGTTTTCAAAAACTGACCTCAAAAAACATTTCAAATTCACGATAACAATCTTTTAGCACCACGAAGCAGCTTTGTCAAATGAAAATACCTTCATTGGTTTTGTAACTCCAAATCAATTGAAACTTTCAGGAAAATGGAATTGAAAAAGTCAGGCGGAATAAATTGCCTCAACTTTTTTCAGGATTTTTAAAACAATGGCGTTTTCATGCGTTTGGTGTATGTTTGCTCTTTTTTGTGTTTTTAGTTGACAAAGGCTCTATTTTGTAAAAAAAAAAATGCTACGAACATTTAATTATTATGCTCTGAGTCAACACATACTGTACATTGTGTGTTTTAATGAGTCATTTTCCTTGTCCACGGCATCAAATGCATAGTCCAAGTGTTTCACATATCTTCTACTCCCTCCGCTCAACCTTAGGACCTCTACCACAAGATTAGTGTGTAGCCTTAGGCGACCGCTTCAAGTGTGCATGGCAATTTTAGTGCTTCTTGTTACCGTTAAGAATATTGTATTTGTAACTCCAATATCTCACGGTAGAGGTACTTATCAAATTATTACTGTCATCCGATAATCCAATATCGATATTTGAACAGCTATTGTGCGTTCCAATTCAAGTATAAGTTCATAAGTCGTCAAAAGCACAAGTCCGATTGTATTTAGAGTACTGCTGCCACTTTGGGATGGCTCTGCTATATGTAGCAGAGCCATATATAGGTTGGTATGCCAACCTTGGATTCCATTGACAAGCGTGCCAAGAGGCTTATAGGTGACTCGAAATTAATAGAGACGAAGCTGCAGAGCCTTGAACACCGCCGTAAAGTTGCTTGATACAGATAAGTTGATATATCACAGAGTGTGCGATGGAATTATACGATTTAATCCCGCCTTCCCTTTTCCATCACCGGAGGACTAGATGCAGGCTTGTTGTAGATGTCGTGAATATTCCAAAGATTCGCATGAAGCGTTACGCGTTCACTTTTATATGGCGGAGGCTATGGAGTCGAGTTCCCTGCCCGCAGACTTGTTCCTTGGACCTTTTCGAGGCGAGAGTGAATAGGCATTCATTAGGCGTGCATACTCTATCGTCGCCCTCTTCGTCATTTTCAATCAGTTGAGATGAGAGGTCAATGCGCACTTACATTTATATAAAAAAGGGGTAAAAGAACGAAAACCACCAATTTATTTCATTAATTAATTTATTTCCGTCAATCACTACAACATAATGATAACAAATACAATAATTTTCAAAGACGAAAATATTTTGTTTTAAAATCTACTAATTAAGCAATAGAAACTAACTTAAAGTAATTAAGTACTTACAATAAATACAATTACGATATTATGTATATTTATTTACCTCATTAAATATATTTTATTACACAAAAAAGTCCTTAAGACTAGTCTGGAAGATATTGCTATAATATTCATTATAAAAAATACATGTGTAAAGAAAAAGTGAATATTCTATGATTAGAAGAAGCAGTTTTTTTAGTGTTTTTATATTTTTTTAGTTTATAGATGGGATATCACAGCTATTAAGTTAATTATTTACAACATATAGCCTTATTCTACGTACGAATATGCATATGATAGGTATATTAACAAAGACAGTAATATGACCATAGAATAATATATAGGGCACGTAAATGTTAAACAAAACTATATTTTGGTGTAAAGCTAACAACTATTGGCAAACGGTTTAATAAAATTTTATTTACACTAAATAATAAAAATAATTATTCGATAATAATATTTATTGCTCATCACGGATGCCTAATTTGTAAAACGGAATACTGTATATTTGAAACTTAAAAATGCTTTTTTCTTTATTTTTCAGTAACCTGTTCATACGTATTGATGACGTAATTACGATATCATAACATTTGAACGATCACTATTTAGACCTTAAAAACATTACAAATTATTTGGAAAGCATCAAAGTTAGTTTGGAAAACTAAATTTTTGTTATATTCGATGTAAATTACTAATTGCTATTTCGCTAAATTACTAAATAATTATGTTAGCTAGTCTTAATTACACGTAAACTTTAGGGCACATTTTATTCATTTATTAAATGGTAATCAGGTGCGAGTTCGTCGTAAATAAGTTAGAAGTTCATAAAGGACAACAATGTTTGTGCGGTGCGTTACCAGAATTATGAGAAAAGTAAAACTGTTTACGATTTCTGTGCTTAAATGGTATCCTTTTTAGATTTATAGAGTTTTAAAAAAATCAGTAATGTTCGCGCGATCTCTGCTTGTTTTTACTAAATTACACATACGATTGTCTATATTTTTTTAGGATTTACAGAATTAGTTAAAACTGATCCCTTCAGGATTACGTGTTGAAATTTTTACAGAGTGTTCTTCTATTCGAAATGGCAATAGTTCAGTTTCTGGTAAGCATTGGGTTGATCATAATGTTGGCAAGGGCGTTCCGCCGCTTGCGCCATGCGCCCGCACCCTGGGCGTGGTACTGCAGTTGCCTGTACCAGGTGCGTGTGCGCGAGTTTTCTTCCGCCTGAAATTGTCAGATCACTATATTAGATATACCAAGATATAATTTAAGGTTTGATTCTGCTTCAGCTTTTGCATGTCCCAACTGTTGGCCAGGGCTCTACCCGAAATGGGCGGATGGCTTCGGTAAGGCAAAATTTGACACGTTGATCCAACTTGGGTAAGGTATTCAAAATATCTTCATAAAGATAGAATATGATGGAAAATCAACATTAAAACAATTAGTAGAGATAATTTAAAATCAGTTTAATTGTCAATCTAAAACACAAATTGAGATGCAAACTAAAAATAGATAAGTGAAAGTCTGTACCTACAAAAAAGTAGTAATCCAAAATCCATAAACTCACCTTGAAAATATAAGAATCTTTAGTAGTAATCTCGTGAACTTCGAAAAAATGTTCGGGCTCGTGGTCAGCGGCTACCACGCATCGATCAAGGAACAGTGGCTCTCGTTGCAATGTATATCTCCCAGCTTTCTCTCTCACCAAAAGCAGAGCTGCCTCTCTTACTCCACTTCGTGCGAAAAGTGCTTCGCCTTCTCTTTCGCGTGCTTCACGATCTCTTGCCTCTCTTGTCTCTCGCATTTCGTTGATCTTATGGGTAATTGTTGGCTGAAACAAAAAAAAGGAGTTTCGATGGTTAGAACTGATTTTCAATAAGTAGATTTTATTATAGAAATATATTCTTTTCGTTTATCGGTCTCTAACAAAAGAATCCGTTTCACTATTAGAAGCGCTGTTACCAAATCAGGATAGTGCAATCTCTTTGACATTTCTCTCGTAACTGCCAATGTCAGTACTATTTCAATCCATTTTGATGTAACACAATGGGTTTTACATACCATGTATTGTTTTAAGTGGCATAGAATTTAATTTAAACCTAAGAATTTATGATTTTAAAGAGAAACCAGTCGTTGTGCGTCTAATAAGTTTGTAATACCGATTTTTTCTAGTCCAACATAATTAATCTAGTCCACGTTCACTTATCATCCATAGTACATCAAAATCGATATTTAGTATTCACTCCACGACCTCGTTTGCCCAACTGTTTGCACTGTGGGCCATGGATGTGGAGATCCCTGGTTCGATTCCCGGTAGAACAATTTGGGCAATGAACATTTCTAAATTAGTCCTGGTCTGGGTATCCTGGAGATAATTTCGTTGCTCTAGTACTCATAGTACAGGGAATTCCTTAGTTTTAGATCAAATAATAACTTGTGGGGTTGTTCGGCACATGTCTTTTCTATAATTAACTATATGGATTCGTTTTAGCCATTAAGCTTATTTTTTACTTCCCATCATCAATTTGAATTAAAAAAATACTTTCCTCACCTTTCCATTAGTAACCAATAGAGCATTGATCGGAGTCAGCTTGATAGTGCGGCCTTTCCGCCAGTTATTATCGTTCGGCTGGGTGAACAGCAGCTTGCCTTCCATTGCAAACCTGATCACATAAATCATAATTACCATCATTCGTCATCAATACATTCAATCAATCAAGTATATTCTGGACTGTTGCTATCGTAATCGACATAGAGTCGAATTTACATCTTAAATGTCCTAGAGCTATCTTTATTGTATTTTGACTGAGCGGTAAAGAAAAGTAAGTAGCACCTGTATTGCGATGTTATAAGCTACATCTACAACATTATCATTAAAGTAGATTGCATTACGTTAAACATTTGATGATACGATAAAGCATCCAGTTCCGTAAGTTATAATACTTTTATCCCATGCCGACTAGACTTCCTGTAAAATATACATATACGTTTTGACGAAGAGATTATTAATTATTACTTGTTATGCAGATTTTGCTGGGACAAGGCAAAATAACAAGTGTGTGCTCTTTTAATCTACAGTATTGCCAAATTTGTGCACTTGTGTATAACACATAAAACATCACAACATGATATTGCTGATTAAATCTCATTACAGCGATGGAAAATTTCAGTCTTCACACGTCCGCCTAATTATTCAAATTTATCATTTTCAAGCAAAATGAATGTCGGAACCGTCCAATTTAAATTTATTTCATGTAGATTTTCTACAAGCGTATTATTGCATTTAACATCAACGTGATTCTACACATGGTTAATTTTAACGTCTCTAGTTTTAGCCCATTACGTTTTGAAATGTATGAATAATAAGGGTACAATTAATTCTCAATTCTTGAAGTCTCTGGGCCCCGATATGTCCAACATGAACATTGTGAGGCATTGCGTCGAAATTTTGGTCCACAGTTTCATTCCAAAATTCATATTTGCATCTACAATCTCTTTTGTGTAGTCGTAGAGTAATTTACTTTTATAGAGCACTATAAAATATGATGTACGTTTCAGAATGTAAAGCAATATGAGTGGTACTAAAAAATATAAATATAAAATGTTTTGCATCTCAATTGCAACATGCGGTTCGTAAGTTTTGCTTTACGAGCCTGTGTAGGCGAATTCCATTTACAGAGAAGTAAGTAGTAAAAACATTGATTGTAATTCCCTTTTCATATCTTCTTTTAGTAACTATTTAAAAATGTCATAAAAATATCAATTGGCTAAATGAAAATCAAAAAGAATTCAAATCTACCAATAGCATAACTGGAATTGAATAAATTGAATGCTATTTGTACTTATACTTCCTATAAACCGAAATATCTGCAGACCACAAACGGTAACGGTATTTTGAACGACATTTGACGTTAACATTTCAAGGCAAAACTTCAAGCCATTTTCTTTTTACACGTATAATTACTTGTATTTGTGTTGCTTTTCGGCAATAAAGCGTCCTGGGAAATAGCGTTTGCCGGCGTTACTGCCACTAAAGGGACGATTATCAGCTTTATGGGTTAAGTGATGAAAGCTAGGAAAAGCTAGCGGTTGCATTACTTCAGCTATAATATTTAGGACATGTATCTAGGGATGAAATATTATACTAGGGACAACACCGAATCTATCTGTGTACTTTTTTCACAATTTATGTTATATATTATGAATACGTAAAAATAAACAAAAGTCTTCAGTTGTTTCAAATTCGAAATTTCTGCATTCTGAATAGAAGGATAAAACCAATGTTATTTATCTTTACCGCAATGTTGTGTGTTCTGAATGTAGGTTTAAGGCAAAAAATTCCTGTTTTAAGCCACGCAATAAACCTGAAACCCGCAATGGTTCTAGTAATGGGGTCATTTGTCGCACCCAGCAATAGAAAGGGAATATGCCGTGAGTACTATTAAGGGTATCGAATAATTCCCAAAGACTAATTCCTAAGTTTTCAAGTTAAAACTCAAAGTACTTTTTCGATACATTGTTACTTATCCTACCTATAAAAATTTATGGAAGACAATTACTTTTGGATGAAGCAGTTACATCCGTCTTTTATCTTCGCAATAAAGTAATTGTCAGACTGGTGGATGTGCTAGTACTTTTGACAATGGAACAATAGAAACCTCAGGCTATTAAGGACGTTTTAGAAGGGACAAAGGTTATCGGGTCGCATTTAGCAAATTTTTGGCGAAAAGAATCGAACGTAATAGAATTTCAATTCATGAACTAATTGTATTCATGGAGATCGTACCTGCGTAATTTCATTTTTGAATTTAATAAGAAACTGGAGTAAACTAGACTAAAAAAATAAAAAATAATGACCTTGCGTCATCATGGTTCCAATCCAACACATCAACGGCCATCTTCCTTAACCGAATGTCAGCAACATGAAGATCGTGCGCTGTCTTTCGGGCAGCTGCTAGCCGCTTCCATAACGGTACGTCTCTAGCCGCAGCTGCTGCCGCCGCTGCTGCAGCGTTGATTTCTTCAAGTCTGGATTCGACACAGCGCTGGGCCGCTTTCACATCTTCTCGTTCAGTCGCACAAGCCGCTGTCGATCGATAAAGCCGCGAGAGAAGGAGGGGATATTTTGTCACGCGTTGGACTGGTACCTGAAATACAAAAAAATACACCTATGATAAAACCAATCGTAATTTATAGGAACGTATGTTTGCATGCACTAAACATTTTTTTAAAATTTCAGTATCACATTTTAATCAAACCTTACCATGAGGAATGAGTTGAGATTCATCCGCCTCAGGACCGCGTTTTCCATCTGTGAGACGCGCAAGAATATCCTCAGAAGTTCCTTCTCCTTCTCCAGACCAGCTAGAAGTAACGCTGCACCCGCTTGTTTTACACAGTAGGATTGGAACGCCGCCAACATACTCGAACATTCCAAAAGAATTTTACCCACATTTACTGTTAGCAAATCCTGTAACAGGGAAACGTCGATACATTAGTGCTTTAACAGAAACTTCAATAACTTTAGACGACAATTAGATACGGTATTTACCTCGTCTCCTTGATCAACTGCAATTTCAAGGGCGTCTCGTAATTTTTCTGACAATACTTGATTGTTCTCTATGAGCTCTTCTACATTCAAAAAGATTGCACTCAATTGTTCCTGTGTCAGGAGTCCCGCAACCAACATTGGCTTATAGAATTCCTCAAGAATAATCTGCAAGTCTCTGCCATACTTCTCTTCAGTTTCTACTATTTCTGTAATGATTTCTTTTCTCTCAGCTCTCTTCTTGGAACATTTTCGACATAGTAACGGAGCGTAAATTGAACCTAAAATAAAATAAATTTGATAAGACTTTTGAAATACAAGTAAACTAAAGCACTCGTAATAACATCTCAATTATAAATTAAAATTTTACAAACCTTTTTCAGTGACTTGGGTCTCGACTGTAGTATCACAATCTTCACAAAGGTGTATAGGAGCATCTTTATCGGTGATTGTATTACACGGAGAAGTTTTCCCTTGCAGTCGACTTCTTGACGATTTACTCGTCTCTGACCCAACACCGGAATCATTGCGTTCAATTTCAGCTGAAGTCTTTTTGCACACCAATGATTTGTCTAAGCTATCATGATTTATTATCAAAGAGTTGTCTTCACTTGAATCAGATGCATGTGACAATTGACTAGTATTACTACTTAGATGAGTATCAATTATTTCTCTGGCAATCAATTTATCTTTTGAGTTTTCAATCAATGTAGTACCATTTTCCGTCACGTAACTAGTAATATAAGCTTCCTCGTCATCAATGCCTCGTTCTTTAGCATCAACTAAATAAGACAAAATATCGTATTTAGACGCTCCTTCAAATATTGAACGCGAACCACTTCGTTTCTCATCATCTAATAGCAATAAAGAATTTGGGGGTGGGTTGACTGGTAAAGGTGGCGGCATGTCTCCTATTTCTTCATAAATTGGATCACTGTTCAGACGAATTGATTCATAATGATGGTCATCATCAGTGTTATTTGCGATTTCGATGTCACATAAGGCAGCATCTACTAACATTTGATAAAATTTTGACCTAGTTGAATTTGTATCGTCTTCTGTTGACATTTCACTCGCTGATGCATTGTAACAATCTGACATTGGTTCAAGATCTGAGAAAATACCCATAGCACCGCTCTCATACTCCATACTTTCATAGGGAGCAGAGCAGCCTTGGTCATCGTTATCAGGACTGACGGAAGTATTGACAACTTCTTTCTTCGTCTCGTCAACCTTGGCATTTTCTGGGGTCTTTGGTTTTTCCTCTTTGTAATTCTCATTTCTGTTCATTTCTCCTTTTAAATTTTTAAGCGAGCTCTCTATTAACTTTTCTATTGTCATTGTAGTGCCATCTGTTCCCTCTTGATTTTTGGTTTCTTGCAGTTTTATCAAGGAGTTTTTGATCAACTTCTTCACGAGGTCTGAATCTAACCCTTCTGCTAAATGTCCAAAAAATGGATCATCAAAAAGCTTTGATACGAAATCTCCATTCTCCACCTGCTTGTCAGCAATTGTCGGCTTATCTGAATTGTTATTTCTTTGCGATGTATCATCTTTTCTTCCACAAACATGTGGAATAAGATTCCTTTTCACAGCTTCAACAGGATCTCCTAATATTGACGATATATCGATAGAGTTATGGTTATTGAGTGCTGAATCATTTAATTTATTTTTAGAGTTATCTGCATAGTATTCCTCATAAGTGTTAGCTTCTAAGCTGCGGTCTTTTTCATCCGAAAGCACAGCGCCAATGTATATTTGGCTTTTAGATTTTCTAGTTTCTTTCTCAGGAGTACCAACACTTATAGTGATAGTAGTACCAGTTTGATAAGTATTGCAGGAATTACCATAATCATCAGTGACCACCACAGAAGATAAATAGATAGGCGTATCGTTATTAACATTCATAGTGGAATAACATTCATTTCCATTTATTTGGATAGAAGTTTTTCTCGACTCAGTTTCTACAAACTCCATGGCACTGGATCCTGTCTTTTGTTCAGCTTCATCAAATTGCTTAACTCGTAAAACTGTCTTCTGCTCGTAATCATTAGCATCTGACCATTCATCGCTAGTGGAACTTGTTGAGTTATTTCGAACGAAACGTGTTTTAACATAATTATGCTTTTTTGATCTTAATCGTTCCTTAACCTTCAGTCGAGGTGGAGGTTCAGGTGATTCTGAAAGTCCGCGACGTAAATGAGTTAGAACTTGTTTTGTAATGTCACTACTATCACTAAGGTTACCATTTTCAATATCTTGGTCATAAGTTAGAGACGTTGTTACTTCCTGGGTTGCTGGAAGTTCATTATGATCATTAGGTACATCACCTTCACTGATTGATGGAACAAATATCTGGCTGGTATGCCCATGCTTTGGTTTAGACCGCAGTGCCATAGAATCTAAGAACTTTGGAGGTGAGATCGTAAGTGTTGTTGGCAATCGTTCTGATTCTGACCTTCGCAGAATTGGTATCTTCGGAATATTATTATCTGAAAATTAAAAAAAAAATTGGTAATGGGTTCATGGTTTCAAAATAATTAGCAAACTAAAACAAAATTAAAAACGATTTATATTACCTTCATTCTTTGAAGTATCATTATTGACGAGTTCATTGTTATTAGTTTCAGAAGACACATGGGTATTTTCATTAACTACTGTTTCCAATCTGTTGTTAATTTCGACGTCCTCATAAACAATGCGATTAATAACAACTTCTTGATTTGTTATTTCCAACATTTCTATTTTGTTTACTTCACTGTTAACATCTCCGTTTCTCTGGTATTCTAAACTATGGCTAACAACGTCTCCTTCTGCTTTTATGTCTTCTTCGGTGTCGACACTGGACTCCTCTTGTATTTCCGTAACAGTACTTTGTTCCAAATTAAACTCTGCTGTACATATCACCCTCGCCTCTTCTTTCTCTACTAAAAATTGCACACGTTTTCTTTGTAAGATATTTTGAGAGTTTAGTTGTCCTTTATCTTGTGGTTTGGGAAGATAAAATTGAGAAGAATTTGCACGTTTTCCAGTGAATGAGTCATCTGAAGTTTCAGTTTTAGTTGGCTCATGAAATTCGTGATTTCGGGGTTTTTTCAAAATTGATTTAATTGTATCTGTATTTTGATTTTTATATTTTGGATTTCTCAAAGTATCAGTTATATTTTTTCTGCTAAAACTTCGATCTGGCAAGCGTTGATTGTCGCTTTCACTGTCGTCATCAGTCTTAAAATTTCTGTTTCTTCTGGGTGGTCGTTTAGGAGAAATGCTTTTTTGTTTTGTGCGGTTAGGGGTGGGTATATTTACGATTTTCTTATTAGTAGTCTTGCTCATTGATACTGACTTCTTACTTTCATTTTTGATATTTGGTAGTGAAAGCGATGCGGATGCTCCTGAATTTTTGAGATCATAATTTATTGGATCGTATACTATATCATCAACCGCATTTAATTTATGTTGATCAGATATTCTTATTCGTTGACCACTAATAGCTTTCACATTTGAATCAGACTTAGATTTACTCAGAGGTTTGAAACTACCATTTTTCAAAGATTCTTGAAATACATCACCAAAGTTATCATCAAATTCTATTTCCAGAAGTGATTTGGAACTGCCACCCGATTTAACGAGGTCATATGGATTTATATCGCAAGATAATATTGACTTCTTGGGTTCTGGCGTAGCGGCTTCTTCATCAATCCATACTTCGCTGACACGACTTACTGATTTGCTTCTGCTTTTGCGAAGTGTTTCAGGACTGCTTGGTTTTCTAGGTTTACCTCTACAAGGACTAATACTTTTAGCCCTTGACCGTGAAACAGAAAACTGACTTCCAATACGTGCTTCGTGTGGAGGGGCCAATCTACTTCTTCGCATTAAGTCGTAAGGATCGGACTCTTCATTGTTTTTGAGGATTGTTGGTCTGGATTTTGGACCTTGGACTCTTACGGTCCCACCTCTTAGCATTCCAGCTTCCCGGCTTACTTGAGGACCTCTAACAGTCCCTCCAACCAACAACCGCGGACTGTCAGCTATCGTTAGCGGCAAACGAGATCCCTTACATTTCTTACATATACTGACTTTGGTTGAGCTGGTTTTCTTCGTACCGTTTAGGTACTCAGGACAGGAACATAGTATGACAGCATAATTGTGGGGAGTTGGTTTTTGAGGCGTACTTATTAGAACTGGGCCAGCTACTTCAGAATATGCTGAGAAGACGCTTTGCCGCATCGGCGGAGTCTGGGTCCTAACTGACCCATAAAGCCAGGTCTCCGCGTACTTCATTGATTTGGATAGTGCTGAACCTCCAGGGCCGCTGATTGTTCCATACATGTATGGACTTTCTGGAGACTTTTCCGAAGACTTGACACTTCCGGAAGTGTTTAACTTCAGCTTCGATGACCATTTCTTCGACCTCGTGCTCTCGGGAGTTTCATATATCTGCAAAGAAAAAAAATCTACATGAATAAAAGTAATTGCTAAATCTTATTCAAAGTTACCTACTATGAAATTTCGCTGTACTGTACACACTAAAATGTGATTTATTTAGAAAATAAAAGACATTAAAAAAAGGCCATTTGTCTGAGAGGACTATTGTGTAGGCTAATATAAAGCAAGAAAACTGAAGCCTCTTTCATTCCTACAAATATTGTCATGAAATTAAGCAGCCTTGTAGAAATTAAAATTACTATAATTATAAGTCCACCAGAACAGTCAAAACTAAATATTATCTGTTGAAAAGCATATTAATAACTTTTATAACGCATATATCTTTATAGTTATGGTACCTTGAAGTCATTTTAAATTCGGCAACCCTTTATTACTAATCATGAAAAGCTACAAGAACACTTAATTACCACCAAATTTTGTCAATCTTATAATTGCTCATGCTTAAGAGTATCATATGCGACATCATTAATAAAAGTTCTAAATGTCCCGTGTCAGTTCACGTTCTCTTTGTATTCTCTTTAACATTGTTTGGTATTCAAACGAGGATGGCCAATCAAAACGCAAAGCTCCATTATAGGCTTATTGCCTCTTTTGTGTCTGATGCCAGTCTGATTACTGGGAACTGCTAAATTTGAAACACTGAGTACTCAAGTAAGAATAGACAATTTATAATACTATCCACAGCATGAATCATGTCCAAAATGCATATAATTGTTATAACCGAGCAAAACAATACATATTAAGTAGTACTTTTCTATTTTGGATCATAATAAAAGTTTAAAACTCTTTTTAAGGTGTAATCTGATAAAACTTAGAACAATTCACATTTTACAGTATGTATTTTTACTTATTTTCGTTTAACACAATAATTATAATAAAAGGCTATCTAAGGTCGTAATAATTTAACATCACTGGCCAATCGGGATTAAAAACATTTTTATGCCGTCTTTTTGTCGAGTCATAGATGTCATTCGTGCTTCGTTTTTCGTAATCGAATGTTTTCTTGTCACCGTATTACGGTAATTAAATTATAATGTGTCCTTGCTTAGTTTTATTTTATTTTTAATATTTTGTAATAGACAATTAAAATTATTCAAAATGAGAACCTCCACCTTTCCTAATTCCATTAAAAATAGAAGGTTTAGCACACCTGCATTCACACTTTGACAATGACATTTCATAACATTTCTTTGTTTACATTTTGTACATTTAATCATGATTCATAGTATTGTGAGAGGTGAATGTTTTAATACAGATTGATTGTATTTTTTCTTTTTAACTTTTGTATTGTCTATACAAATTTTATTGAAACTTAGCTATTTTAGCCGTCGCTTTTGAAGTTTGAGATGAGATGAAAAACGTTAAGGATTGTTGAATTTTTCATTATGCTTTAAAAAAATTCTGTTAGGAAATAAAATTATCTTACGAGTACGTTTTTGTTCCAGCAAAACTTGGTAACTTGACGGTAAGAAATTCTCGGTTAGAATCGAGATATTCCTCAACTTCTGGATACCTCAAGAACTTTGAGAAAAAGTTATTTGGAGTTGGCAAATTCCACGTCTTTTGCCTTTTTAAAATAAATACTCATGTTGATTCAGTACAATACAAATTGGCTGGTTTATTTTCAGTTCGAGAATTTTATTGAAAGTTTTCTTTGAACGTACATTTTAACATAGGCCATTATTTTACAATCTATTTTAAGATTTAGGAAATTAGCTTGGTCCAGATACTACTTGCTAGAGAAGTTTTGATTCGGAACGTACTTTGTTCTGTTACCTATTAGAACGGCAATAATTTTTATAAACGTAAGGTTTGTATATAGTTATTAGTCTACAGATTATATTATTTGGAGAAGTATACGAGCAACAATATCAGACAGCTAACAGCTCGCCTGTAAAGTTGTACATACATAAAATGACGAATAATGTAGAAAAAATATGGCGGAATCAAATTATGCAATTCCATTGCATATTCGCCGTGATATTAATATGACACCAGACATTGTTGTCTGGTATTATTGCCCATACTATTATTATCATTCGTTAATAAAACCTACTGAGCCAGTTCAATAAACTGTTGCTCAACCAATGTAAGTCTTACAGTCGTACTTGGATAGTGGCAGATAATGGTTTAAACATGTGAGAGGTTAATCCACCACCCTGTCCCAAAGCGCTCTGGCGGCTTCAAACAATCTACATAGAATTATGTGAACGTCTTCCTACTTGCTGATTCATTTAAATTCCTTCCCCGGTAAAGCAAAAAAAAAACTAAACAAACCTTAATTATTATAGCTATGAAGACACACCGATTACTCGAATCGCTCAACTAAATGTGTTGATTGTTAGTAGGTACTTTGATTTTAGAGTGTAATTTCTGAACGAATGTAGTTTTGACATAACTCCGAAGAGGCGGCCGGATAGGTTGGCGAAAAATGATATCTATGCTCACTGGACGCGAAAGTGACGAAGAAGGTTGTTGGTTTTGAGGCACACGCTTGGCACTTTCCGAGCTCGATAAAATGTCATATTCGTCTTAGTCGTATTCGTCATTGCTAAAGATCGTGTCAACGAAAGATGTTCAAAATTTTACTTATACACGATTTCCCTCCAACAGGTTCAGTTTTCGGCTTCTCTCAGGATAATTGGTATAGGAAGGTCAGCGAGGGCGGTTACTTGGTCACTCCATCAGCTAAATATCGACCACGGAGTCTCCTTCCTTCCACTTTACCCACCACAACCAATTTGTCAAGGTTACGTACGAGTTATAGTTGTCCGCGAGAAATACTTCAGAGTTCTCTGGTACCATATTGTGAAAAGTCTAGTTGTAATAATGAGATGCTTAAGTATGTATTAGTTTGTTCTTCTAGCAGTCCTTGGTGGTATGCGGAGCACCCTTATCATCGTTATCGTCATCAACTAATTTATACGTTCAGTCACAGTTGGGCACGGGTCTCCTCTCTTGCTAATTAACAGTGTGTCTTGTATTAATTACGTAAGAGCTTATTTTTAGCCAGCCAATGTTTACTCCTTGCATTGAATTGTAACCGCGGAGAAGTAGGAAATACCGCAAACAAAGATTACGTTTATTCTGAAGACAAAGCAAATCTAATTCCACTATATCTTTTCTGTACAATGATGTTTGTAGTTACAATATAATAAGAAGTTAAATTTGTAGTTTCGATAATAATATTAAGCAATCGATAGTTTGAGTTTAATTTCTCGTTACATTTTTTAAAATTTAATTTGTGAATATTTAGTATTATTTCGACTGTTTTTTTTTTTAATATATACAATCTGATTCCTGATAATGTTGTTTATATGCAAAACCTGTACGGTTATATCAAGTATTGTTATACCGTACTGCATTAGTTCGATTTTCTGGGAAATGTCTCACAATGAATTACATTGCTCTGGCACTTCTAATATAGGGATTACCCTACCCTACTTTGAGGCCGGGCAATTGATATGTTAACTGGTACCACATTATTATCTCAACAGCTCTTAACTTATATAATATTACACATATTAGTATGTTCTTATTACATAGTGTATTTATGAAGATATGCCTTGGTCGCACTCCTTTTACATATCCCAAATATCTATCTTAAGGTTGCCTGAAAGAAATTGCTTAACATTTACTTACTATTTTTATACTTAAGTTACTGTTTTGTGTTGCCAGTGTAATTTTATATGCAACGTAGAATATTTCATTCATTCCATTGAATGCGGCAGGAAGGTATCATTATCTCTTCCTGGCAATAAGATCCAAAAAGTCCAAAAAAATAGTTGTTGCTAGTGATGTGTCTATACAATTCAATTTAGTCAACGATTCAATGTAAACAAACGAACGGGTGATCCTTTCTTATGCATTTTATTCCACTGGCTTAGTTTTTAATTCACGCAAGCCCGAGGCTGCAATCTAGACTGCCAGAGCATTCTCTATGTCTAATTGAATGTGAGAGTTAAAACTGACCCATGTGCTGGACGAAAGTAGCTTTCTTCTTTATTTCGAGTGGAATACGTTGCTTTATTTCTTAGAAAAGGCGCTTCAATTCAAAATGGACTTAAGTAGGATTACTACCTTATTTGAGCAAAAACACGAGACATCAGAGTCATAGAAAATATACTGAAATACCTTAGCGATACACTTGACTGACATTACGTCAAAATCTCATTGCTTATGAATCACACCGCGTGTGTTGAATGTTAAGGCGAGGTATTTTAACACGAGCCTAGATTTTAGGAGGTGAGGTGTGAAGGGCCGCCACTCGCGACCCGCAATCCGTGCGCCTTTTTTTATTCATAAGAACAGGCGGAGAAAATTTCTCACAGATCCGAAGGTGACAAGCGCCTAATGCCAACTGATGGGGATGCGGACAGCGCGACGTATCATTAGTAGCAGTAGAGCTCCCTGTGAAAGAGTTCGTCCAGGAAAGTACTGCCACCTTACCTATTTCTGCCGCCAAGCAGTAATGTCAGCATTACTGTGTTCCGGTCTTGAAGGGTAAAGGTGCTGGTGAAACTACAGGCACATGAGACTTGTCAACTTACGTGGTAGTTCTCCTCACATCTTTACGATTTATTAAGCTGTGTTATGGACAGGCATGTAGCTTACCATTAGACGCACGACTAGTTCGTCGTCACTTGATATTATAAAAAAAAACCGCATGGCAATTTCCAAGTTTTGGGATAAATGTGAATTTACTAACTTTAGGTTTTCAGTTGAAAACCAAAATTTAGCAGGTTCTCTGTAGTACTTAAAAAGAAATATCTTCATGTAAAAATTATGTGCAAAGTTAGATATTTAACTCTTAAATAATTCATTTTATTTTAGCCTGTTTTCGGGTTTTTATATCATCGGGTAAAGTGCATATTATCGTATAAAGAATTAGCACATTCTTTAGACAATATCCTTAAGTATATCGTATATCTTTATGAGACCGTTATTTAATGGTAAATACCTAAACCATTTGATCTCGCTTAACCGTATTT